AAATTTTAATGCTAGTAGTTGTATCGTCCCTATCTGAAATTGTAGTGGCAGTACTTGTGCATTATTGATATTTACTCGCACTTTTAATACTTGACCTGGGCCATCTTCGCCTCATCTGGGTACGTCCAAGGGAGCCCTCCCTTCCTTGTGCATGTGGTTCCGCCACCTGACTACCCCAACGCCCTCTCTTCGGGATAGTTTTTGGGAATTGGCTGAATCGCTCACAAGTCGATCCGGTAGGTGCGGAGGGGTGCAATGGGCACCAAACCCACTCCCCCTACTTCCACTCACCCATCGAGCATCCTGACACCTTCCAATCGCCAATTGGTCTGATGGTGGGAAACAGTGGTTCTGCAAAAGCACTATTTCCCACCGTTAGCCTTCCCCGTTGGACTGGGGTATCTTCGCCTCATCTAGGTACTTATAGAGGACCCCCCCCACCCTGTGGAGGTGGTTCCACCACCTGACTACCCCCCTCTAGGACCGTTTATGGGAATTATTCAAATCGCCCGGAGACCAATCCGACATGTGCGGTGGGGTGCAATGGCAACCAAACTCACTCACCCCTACTGCCACTCTCCCACCGAGCATCCCGACACCTTTCAATCGCCAATCAACCCGATGGAGGGAAACAATGGTTCTACAAAAGCACCGTTTCTCAACGTCGGCCTTCCCCATTGGTCCGGGGTGTCTTCGCCTCATCTGGGTTTCTATAGGGGCTTCTCCCCTCCTTGTGCATGTGGTTCCACCGCTCGACTACCCCCGTGCCCCCCATTCTGGACCATTTTTGGGAAATGGCCGAATCTCCTGAAGGTCGATCTGCCAGGTGCAAAGGGATGCAATCGCCAATCGGCCCGACGGCTCGGGCTGATGGTGGGAAACGGTGGTTCTGCAAAAGGACCGTTTCCCATTGTCGGCCTTCCCAATTGGCTTGGGGCATCTCCTCCTCATCTAGGTACTTATAGGGGACCTCTCCCCTCCCTGTGCATGTGGTTCCACCCCCCAACTACCCCATGCCCTCCCTTCGGGACCGTTTCTCGGAATTGGCCGAATCACCTGAAGGCCAACCAACGGGTGCGGAGGGGTGCAATGGCCACCAAACCCACTACCCCTACTGTTAGACAGTGTATGCCCTTAGCTCCAATCAGATAGATGTACAGTATGACATTTATTGTAAATGAATAAAGTACATATTTGATTCATGTTATAGTGGTGCGTTTCTGTGTAATACCCTTAAACTGGACACATAATACCCTTAAATGAATAAAGTACATATTCAATCTAGGGAGATCTATCCTGATAAGGCTGACACTTATGTGCCGCCAAGTTGGTTGGGGTGGCCTATCTTAGCCGCCAGGGTGAGACCCGAGGTACATGCAGTGTAGGTTTAACTTGAAACCTTGGACTGGACCAGAATTTCAGTGTTGCCCTAGACCTTGGTGATAAGTGGGCAAAACTGGAATGTTACACCTGACCCCTAGACTCGATTATGATACTACACTAGGTGTCGGATTGGACTGTCTTTGATGTGCCAATCAGTGAGATCCTTAGAGGGGGTCAAAACCTGGGTATGTTGGGACAGTCCGAGAATTCATCTGAGTGGGTGATCATA